CCACCACCTCCATCAAACACGAACTCAGAAGTCGCCCGACAAGTTTCAAATCATCGACCACCCACGTTCTCAGGAGAAGAAGATCCTGTAATCCTTGAGGAATGGATCCGGACCTTCGACAAGATTCTAGGGTTGGTAGAATGCCCAGAGGAACGTCGCGTAGAGATAGCCCCATTCTATTTCGGACACGAGGCAGACCTTTGGTGGATCCACGAGGGGCCCACTTACTGACAGGAACGAGGGTTCGACTGGGAAAACCTCAAAACACGACTACGAGAACGATTCTATCCAACACACGTAAAAACATCCATGCACGAAGAGTTCCTCCACTTGAAACAAGGAACGACTACCGTCATGGAATACCGTAAACGGTTCCTCGAGCTAGCACGCTTCGCACCAGAACTAGTCCCCACTGAGGCAACCAAAATTGAAAGGTTTGTATCGGGTCTCAACTTCGAAGCCCGAAAAGCACTAGTAGTAAGCAGACCCTGGACCCTCAACGAGGCTTACTCCAGTGCCGCAAATCTCTATCGGATCCAATTGCTGCAACGTGGGGTTCAGGAACAGATTCGAAAAAGGAACACAGGAGGTGGAGCACCACCCATGAAAAGAACAAGAAACGACGCCAACACGAGACCAAGCAATCCAACTGGCCAAAGGCCACCCCTAGGAGCTTCTCTTGCCCAAAATGCAACAAAAACCATAGAGGCAAAGATTGCATGGGCAACCCCTGGCGATGCTTCAACTGCGGGGAAGAAGGGCACAAGTCCTTCCAATGCACTCAACCCCAGAAATCACGCCCACAACCATGGGCCAACACGGGGGCATGAATCATCAAGGAAACTACACCCCGGAAAGTTGTTCGTCATAAGCCGCACCCAGGCCGAACTCAAGAACGAAAGCAACCTCGAGGAAGGAAACATGGCTCTAGAGGACGAGGACCACGCAAACCCACCAGAAGAAAACCAAGGAGATGAATTCTGTTTAGGATAACCGGCAAATCCCTTGTAACCACCCTCGTAGTAGAATTACTTGCTTAGATTAGCTACTTCGGAATTATTATAAATAAAGAGCTAAATCAAAATTAATTTTAGCATAAGGGAAAAAGATTAGATTATGCACGTCAAACAACAAAAAGACCAAACCAAGTCTTCTTCCACTAGAAGACAAAAGGAGGAAAAAGACAAGGATCACACAATCAAGAAGCCTAGTGTTACCAATGGGAATTAAACCCTTGACCTCCCACTTACAAGACCAAGACCTTAACCATTAGGCTAAAAGTGTTTCTTAAAACCTCAAGGGAACACTCCCTTCTTAAACCCCTACAAATCCCTAAAACCCACAAAATCCCCAAATCAAAAACCCTTCTTCTTCTTCCACACTCCCTCTCTCTCACTCTTCCTCTCCCTCTCACCTCTCCGCCGACCCAACGCCACCCCAGCAACCATCCCGCCAGTCGCCGTCACCAGCCGAGTCGTCGACGGCCACCCAGGCGACGCCCCACCGCACGCCACCGTCGTCGCCCGGAAGCAGCACGCGACGCCACCACCACCGGTCACTCGCCCGGACACACCCCGCTGCCACACGCACCACCGCTGCCCGACTCCGCCCAAGTCCACCGCTACCTCGCTCAGCCGTCGCCAGAACCAAGCCACGCCGCCGCCCTTTCGCCGTCGAGAGAACCACGTCGCCGGAAGCTCGCCGGAGCCCTCGCCGGAAATTCGTCGGAAAACACCACCTACCCAAAATGCCGAAAAAGCCCCTCGGAACCCGCACCCCGGAATGGAGCAGCGCCGATTACACCGTGATCGGAGGTAAAGCTCTCGAACCCGACCAATTCTCTCCGGAGTTGGTCGACATGCTTAACTTCCAAGGGCTCTTGGATACGTATCTCACCATAAAATGGGTTACATACCCCGAATTGGTGAAAGAGTTCTATCGTCACTTGGTGGCTGTCAAGCGAGGTGATAAATTGGAAATCACCGCTAAGGTCCGAGGCAAGGAAATCATACTTTCCGAAGGTCGCTTGGCCAAGCTCTTAAGACTGACCACCACAGGTGTGTCAGACTACGACCGAAAGGGGTGGATTGGTACCCAAAACCTGGGGTACAATGACTACCTCGGGTACCTACTTGGAGAGGGAGAAGGCTTCACCTTGGCCACTCGGCCAAACAGGAAATGGCTAACTGCAGAGCAAAAGATACTAGTCATGATTGTAACTGATAGCCTGTTGCCTACAAATAACAAGAGCAAAGATGTGGGAAGTTTGGAGTGTACTTTTGCTTACCTTCTAAAACACAAAATCAAGATCAACCTACCGGCCCTTATGTTAAAACACATGGAGTTTTGCAAGTCTAGCAACCGGCTTAGTCTACCTTACGGAATGATCCTGAGTTGGATCATGGAGAAGAAAGGAGTAGACCTGAGCCACACAGAGGTCAAACCCACAAGCGGCATGGTTTTCAATGCCCAGAACCTCCGCCGCAACGATATCTACTACACTGAAGGGGGAGAGTATATCACCCTCGAGGAGATTTGCCTTAAACCCGAGGAGGAGCGAAGAGAATTGGTTGACCGATTGGACATCTCCAACAAAAAGCTTAAACGGGCAATGCAAGATTGTGGGGGACTAGAGGGAAGTGAGGAATAGGAAGAAGATAGCGAGCCTAACCCACCAGCACCCGCACGAACAGGAGGAAACCCAGGGGAACAAAATAAAGAATCTGTCAATGAGCACATCCTCGCACAGCTCACCCGGCAAAACCAAATCATGGATGAAGGGTTCTCGTCCTTAATCCATGCGATACGCGCTATAGATCAGAGGGTGGCAGCAATCGAGACCATCCTGGGCACTCGCGGGGCTTCCAGTTCAGGAGCAGGAAACCAAGGTAGACCCGAACCTTCCAATCACCACGTCACCAGAAATCCAGTTTACCTCAGCAAGGACAACACGTAGGGCCACGTTCCTAACCAGGACGCCAAAATACGGGATGTCCAGGGGTGAAAGAGTGGGTTAACGCACTGGCTTCGGGGACGAAGCCTCTTGTAAGGGGGGGAGAGTGTAACACCCCGTGTTACGACCCCTAAAACCAATTAATCATTTACCCAAAAGAAAGAATTAAATTATAGTAATTAATTAGGAGAAGGCCCACCATAGTCCATGGGCCCTTATCCCTAAAATCAAGCCCTTAGTCCTAGAAAGAATAGAATTAGAAAGCCTATAGTATTTGGACGCTAATTGGGACTCTTAGGTATATAAATAGGGGACATAGGAGGCACCTAGAACCCACACCACAATAATCTCTCACCACACAAGAAGTTCCAAGAATCCCCCTAGGAGAAATCAAGAAAGAAGGAATCTTAAAGAAAGACCCTTCATAGCCAAGGAAATTAATTAAGGCTAAGAGGTAACCCATGTCTCAACAAAACCTATTTTCCTTGCTATAATTATCTTCTTTGGCTTCTTCTCTACGTTTGTGTCGTGATGAATCGTTTATATTATTGATGATATGATCTTGATGATTGATGGGAGGATTTTATGTGTGATCTTGATGATCTTGATGATGATAAGAGGTTCTTGATGATTATGTGATGTTCTTGATAAATCTTGATGTTTCTTGGTATTAAAAAGATGAACTATGATTTTGATAACTTGAATATGATTAGAGCCCTGGGTCAATTTGGGGATTTCGTATTGTGTTATTCTTGATATAATTGGGTGGGATTTCGCAAGTTCGGGTGTTGATTATGTTAGAAATCATGATAGGATGTGTGCTATTTGATTCTTGCCTTTGATCCGTTAATTGTCTACGTGGTGTCATCAATTGCGTTTAAAAGTGTCTAAGCATGGTTTCGGGTTCCACAACGGATCCCGGGACGTTTATTGTGATAAAGAGTCAGTGGGGTGTAGGTGCGTGTAACACCCCAATTTTCACTACTAAATTTTCTTTACAATAACTCGTTTTCTCAATTCAAAATTCATTAATACTATAGCGGAAGCATTAACTAACCAAAAGAAAATGGGTGTTACCGCCACACTTAGGCAACCAACAACCTAAGTGCTAAGGATAAATTTACAACATCAACTAATATATCAAAATCAACTTAATACATAAAACTGAAATCACTATAAAACAATATTTTCCTCAAAATTTCAAATAAATAAACATTATTCCATCTCAACTTGATTCCACCCCGATTTACTATCCATGTTCACCTGTATAGATAATTTGACACAAAAACAAAGTGTAGACAAAAATTAGCATAAGCTAAGTAAGTTTCACTTCACCCCGTAAAATAATAGGCTCGGATTTTATATAATTTTCAAATAAAATACTTATATATTCTTATACTTTGGCAAACCATATATATATACTTTTGTACAATTAACATAATAGAGACTTCCCAAGTATTACTTAGTAAATAATCATTTTTCAAAACATTCCACGTCATTTTTCCAAAATGTATCATATTTATTATCAAGGAGGAGTAGATACCGAGTGTAGAGTCTTTAAGCTCTCAACTTAACCACCAAGAGGCATCATAAGCCAATCATGAAAATAATTTAGAATTCCAATATGAGTTCTACCGGGTCACTCCGGTTTCCATATCTGAGATAAATTTCAAACTTGTGAGTTCTTCAGGCTCACTCCGGTATAATAAAAATATTTTTTTGTGAGTTCTCCCGGCTCACTCCGGTAGAATGACAAAATTTCCAATCAGTTGGTTGTGAGTTTCCCGGCTCACACCAGCACCAAGTATCACCCTCCTCCAAGACTAAAATATGTATGTATATATACTTTCATGTCAAAATATTTCTTTTCCAAACTTTCTTTGGTAATAATATGAACGTGGAATAATAAGATTTCACCACATACATAAATAGTGTAGTTTGTAAAAATAACACTTTTTGCAAATTGATCACATTTGATCATTATTTTTAATATATAAATATCAAAAATTCCAAGCCAAGCATTTACAGAACACACGCGGGTTCGACACGTCGAAACCCATTCTCGATACTTCGAGAATCACCACTCACAACATTACAATGCACTTGTGATCACATGAACATTATAACTCACATTATAGACATCATACACATATTCACCCCTAATCTATCCAATAATTGCTAATCACTCCAATCATCACTATAATAACGGCTAATCACCTTTTCAAATCAAAACAAAATAATCACTTTGCTGCTAGTAAGAATTGAACCTAAAACATCAAGCTTAACACACAAGTCTCAAACCACCACAACAATTATTCACTTCGTTTACTTCTTATCAAATTATATATATTTATATATGTATACGAAAAAGAATATAAGTCTTTCTTTTAGGCATAGTAGTAGATAAATATAACAATTTAATTTTTATAAGAATAATTTTTCAAAAATTCTTTTGGCATCATATGAAAATATATTAAGGGTGAACTAAATAATATTTTCTCAAAATTATATTCTTGCTTGAAATTACCGGGTGTCACAGTGGCAGTAGGGGGACCCGCCACCTACCCGCTGCCCGAACAGGACGCCGCCGGCAGCGGGCGGACGACTGCCCGCCGGGCACCCGCTGCCTGATGACTTGTCGCCGGCGGGTGGTCCTACACCCACCGGCTACCCGCTGGAATTTACCCACCTTGGGTCTTCGGCTTCCCCGTTTGATGTTTCCCCGACCCTCGTGGTGTCCCAACGGACTCCGTTTATCGTGCCTGAGTCTAGTTTGATGTTTCGGGTACCATTCGTAGGATAAACGAGTCTTAAATATATATATATATATATATATATATATATATATATATATATATATATATATATATATATATATATATATATATATTGTAACACCCCAGATTTTTCAAGACATTTTAAGCTTATATAATAAAGGTAATATCTCATTACATCCCAAAGTATATCATAAGTGTACGGGGTGCTATGCCACACCTGGGCTAGAGAACCCAGGTGCACAGGCTGTCTAACTAATATCCATTGAAACACAATACATAATATGGCACGCAGGCCGAAAGGGAAACTACTCTACTTCTACGCTCCAGTTCTAGCGCGCTCCAGTGCTCTAGTCCTCTGTGCCTGAAAGCCAAATATATCTGTTCAGCGAGAGATGCTGGTAACCCACTCCAACGCGTTGAAATACAATACATATAGAGATATATATAGATATACGAAAACCATTTTGAGCATGAAGATATATCCTACGAACACTAGCTTTAAAACCGGGAATGACTCGACAGATAAGGCCAGACACAAGCACAGTTATAACGAGCATATGCAGTTTACAACAGATAAGGCAGATAAGGCAAAGCATAAACAATGATCATAACCCAACATGAACAATCCCCAACATAAATCCCATAGTCACATCCCCCAAGACACTCGTAATCACAACTCGTCCAGGTCACAACACATAACACACTTTGTTGGCGCCACAGGACCAATCGCATGCCCATACATGAGGGTCAGCGCATATAGCTCTGACACGGCCCCGCAGCATCCTGCCCCGTATCGCAACACGGAGGGGTCGATCGCAACCGACCGATGAACCGCAGCTCATCATAGTGTTTGATCGCAACCAAACAGTAGACCGCAGCCCAAGAGAATGTCATCTGACCGCAGCCAGGAAAAAGGACGAACCGCAGCTCGTATAGAAATGTTTGATCGCAACCAAACGGTGGACCGCAACCCAAGAGTATCAATCTGACCGCAGCCAGCTTCTGAACCGCAGCTCAGGATAACCAATCCGATCGCAACCGAATTGGGGTAACACACACATAACATATTGCAAGCACATGCAACCCACATTACACATTAGGAAGGGGGAGAAAACGTATAACAAAACCTATGCGTGATCCATCACTTACTAAGAATAGTCCTAAGGGGTTCATACTTCTTCCACCTAGGTCAACGGGATACCAATTCAACTAGCATGCAATATAATAGACTCATAAACCTACGAACGGTACCCGAAACATCAAACTAGACGTAGGCACGATAAACGGAGTCCGTTGGGACAACACGGGGAACGGGGAACATCAAACGGGGAAGCCGGGATCCCGGGTGGGATGAATTTCCAGCGGGTAGCCGGTGGGTGGGGGCCACCCGCCGGAGAATACTGTTCCGGGCAGCCCGCCGGCCACCCGCTGCCGGGCGGTGTTTCACGGCCGTGGGTAGGTGGCGGGTCCCCTACCCCCCACCTACCCCCCACTGACTCTTTTCACACACTTTACAACGCAATTAACGACAACACGTAGACAATTAACGAATCAAATACAAGAAACGAACGGCACATAACCTATCATGCTTTCCTAAATATAATCAACACCCAAACATGCGATTTCCCCACCCGATAATCCAAGAATAAGATCATACGATACAACCTAGGGTTCTAATCACTTTTATATCAACAAGAATACGGTTCGTCTTCTAATTGCAAGATTCGGTAAGAATAACACATAAACATCAAGAGCATCACACAATTATCAAGAACGACACATAATCATCAAGAACTCCATATAATTATCAAGAACACCATAGTTATCAAGAATCTCCCAATATCAAGGTCATCAAGATCCCCCATGGGATCATCACATCAATTACCAATAATAATCATCATAACTCGCCAATATGCAATAATATGGGGAAACCCTAAGGGGGAATTATAACTATGAAAATAGGTTTTATTGAGACATGGGTTACCTCTTAGCCTTAATTAATTCCTTGGCTATGAAGGATCTTTCTTTAAGCTTCCTTGCTTTCTTGATTTCTCCTAAGGGGATTCTTTGAGCTCTTATGGGGTGGTGGGGCGTTATTTTTGTGGGAAGTTCTAGGTGCCTCCTAAGTCCCCTATTTATATATTTAGGAGTCCTAATTAGGAACTAATATTATAGGCTCGCTAATTCTATTCCTTTTGGAACTAAGGATTGGGTTTAGGGGTTGGGTTTATATATGAGGGCCCATGGACTATGGTGGGCCTTTTTCCCTAATTAATCATTATGATTTATTCTTTCTCTTGGGCTATTGATTAATTAATTAAATGGTTTTAGGGGCCGTAACACGGGGTGTTACACTCTCCCCCCCTTACAAGGGGCTTCGTCCCCGAAGCCCGGTGTTATAGTCCATCCTTTCACCCCTAGACACCTCGTAGCTCGGCCTCCTGATTAGGGTTGCGGCCTTACGTTTGTCTTGGCTTGGGGTAGGCTGAACTTTTGATGGTGTTGTGATAGAGAATTTTTTCGGTTGTACCTCGGTTTCCTGCGCTGGAACTGGATGCACCGCGAGTGCCCAAGGCGGCCTCGATCGCTGCTACCCTTTGATCGAGTGCGCGTGTGGTGCGAATCAAGGATGAGAACCCTTCTTCCATGATTTGATTCTGCCGGTCGAGCTGAGCGAGTATGCGTTCGTTGACCGAACCCTCGTTTTGTCCCCTCGGGTTCCCTCCTGGCTGTGGTGCACTAACGGGTTAGGCCCGTCTTCCTCCTCTTGTCCCTCATTTCCCTCCGTACCTCCGCAATCTTGCATGGCTCGCTTGAGCTTTTTGTTGGAGATGTCCAATCGATCAACCAATTCCCTACGTTCCTCCTCGGGTTTTTGGCAAATTTCTTCGAGGGTGAGATAGTGTCCTCCCTCGGTGTAGTAGATGTCGTTGAGGCGGAGGTTTTGGGCATTGAAAACCATGCCGTTGGCGGTTTTGACCTCGGTGTGGCTTAGGTCTACCCCCTTTTTCTCCATGATCCAACTTAGGATCATCCCGTAGGGTTGGCTAAGCCGGTTGTTTGTCTTGCAGAACTCTATGTGCTTTAGCATGAGTGCCGGCAGGTTAAACATGATTTTATCTTTTCGGAGATACGCAAAGGTGCACTCCATGCTCCCCACATCCTTGCTCTTGTTATTGGTGGGCAAGAGGCTATCGGTTACAATCATAACCAATATCTTTTGCTCTGCCGATAGCCACTTTCGGTTTGGTCGAGTGGCCGAGGTGAACCCGTCCTCTTTCCCGAGTAAGTACCCAAGATAGTCCTTGTATCCCGTAGTTTGGGTATCAATCCACCCCTTTCGGTCATAGTCAGACACACCCGTGGTGGTCAATTTCAAGAGCTTGGCCAACCGGCCTTCGGAAAACACAATTTCCTTGCCACGGACCTTGGTGGTAATTTCTACTTTGTCGCCTCGTTTGGTGGCCACAAGGTGTTGATAGAACTCCTTCACCAACTCGGGGTATGTATCCCCTTTGATGGTGAGGTATGCATCAAGGAGACCTTGGTGTTTAAGCATATCGACCAATTCCGGAGAGAATTGATCGGGTTCGAGACTTTTACCTCCGATAACGGTGTAATCGGCGTGGTTCCATTCCGGGGTGCGGATTCCGAGGGGCTTTTTCGGCATCTTGAATTTTTCTTTTGGCGGTGAGGAATTCCGGTAGAAATTCCGGCAGCTTTCCGGCGGGTCTCCGGCGAAGTTTCCGACGGCCTCTTTTCCGGCGGTGGTTCGAGCCGCTACAAGGTGGCGATGGTGGGGCGGAGCTCGGCAATTTTCCGGCGGGGCGGTGGAGGCCTACGGTCGCGTGGGCGTTGGTGGCAGCGGGCGAAGCTTGGGTGGATGGCAGGCGGCGTCGCTCGGGTAGGGAGGCAGCGGGTCGCCGCTGGGTGCTCGCCGGGCGGTGGGCGAGGTCGGCTGGGACGGCGGCGCGGCGGTGTGGCGCTTAGCGGTGGCGTTCGGCCGGTGACGGTGGTGCGTGGTCGTCGGTTCTGCTGGGGTGGGGCGGCGAGGTGTGTGAGGTGGGGAAGGGAAAGAGTGGGGAAGAAGAAGGGGAGGAAGAAGAAGAAGGGTTTTTGATTTGGGGGTTTTGTGGGTTTTAGGGACTTGGAGGGATTTAACAAGGGGTTATCCCCTTAAGGTTTCAAGAAACACTCATGGCTTAGTGGTTGGGACTTGGACTTGTAAATGTGAGGTCTAGAGTTCAATTCCTAATGGTGACATTAGGCATTTCTTGGTGGTGTGGTCCTCTTTTGTCTTTTTCCTTATTTTGTCCTTTAGTGGGGGAAGGGTTGGGTTGATGATATAACTTGTGCTTTATCTTCGTAGTGGAAATTGAAGTTTGACCAAAGATCCTTATTCATAATACTTTCGAAGTAGCTAAGCTAAATAGACATAATGTTTTCGAAGTATTTAAGCTAAATAGGTGGTCCATACGATACAAGGGGTGGTTACAAGGGGTGTGATGGTTTATCCTAGACAGAATTCGTTTTCTGGGTTTTCCTCGGTGGGATCCGTATGGTCCTCGTCTTCCGGGATTGGGTTTTCCCCTTCTAGGTCTTCTTCGTTTCCGAGTTTGGCTTGCGTGTGACTCATAACGAATACTTTTCCAGGAGCACCGTAACCCCCTTGGTGACTGGTGCCCCCGTGTTGACCCACGGTGGCGGGGCGTGGTCTTTGGGGTCGAGTGCACTGGAAGGCCTTGTGCCCCTCCTCTCCGCAGTTGAAGCATCGCCAGGGGTTACCCGCGCAATCCTTGCCTCTGTGGCTTTTGTTACACCTCGGGCAAGGGAAGCTTCTTGGATTAGCTTCATTGTTTCCCAGGGGTGGCCTTGGGTTGGTCGGGTTGTTCGGCCTCGTGCCGGTGTCGTTCCTCGTTCTTTTCACTGGCGGTGCCCCACTTCCGGTGTTTGTTCTTCGTATTTGTTCCTGAACCCCGCGTTGGAGTAGTTGGATTCGATAGAGATTCGCGGCACTGTAGTAAGCCTCGTTGAGGGTCCGAGGTCTGCTTACCACTAGCGCCTTTCGAGCTTCGAAGTTGAGGCCCGACACGAATCTCTCTATCTTGGTTACCTCGGTGGGGACTAGCTCCGGCGCGAAGCGTGCCAGCTCGAGGAATCGTTTATGGTATTCTACGACGGTGGCCGTTCCTTGTTTTAGATGAAGGAACTCTTCGTACATGGATGCCTTCACGTGGGTTGGATAGAATCTCTCTCGTAGTCGTGTCTTGAGGTCCTCCCAATTGAACCCCGGTTCTTGTTAATAGGTGGGTCCCTCGTGGATCCACCAGAGATCGGCCTCGTGCCCGAAGTAGAACGAGGCTATCTCTACGCGGCGTTCCTCTGGGCATTCCACTACTCCAAAAATCTTATCAAGCGTCCGGATCCATTCTTCTAGGACCGCGGGATCCTCTTCTCTCGAAAACGTGGGTGGTCGGTGATTTGAGACTTGTTGGGCGACGTCCGAGTTTGCGTTTGATGGAGGCAGTGGGGGCCTATTGTTGCGAAGGGTCGCGTCACTTAGTGCCTGTGCGACTTGTGTTAGTTGCTGCAGGGTTTGGGTCAAGGGGTCATCGGTGGCGGGCTCTGGAGTTCTGGATTGCCTTCTGTTTGGCGCCATGCTATCGTCTTTCTGGTCAGTGTTTATAAGAATGTTAAGTTAGAGTCTGATGCACTTCTTGTGAAGTGATGAGTGGGGAAGGGTAACGTGTAGAGAAGTTATGTGTAGGTTTCACAATCTCACCACGCGTCCTAAGATTCCTGAGTCCTATGTTCCTAGGTACCTAGAGTTCAAGCCTAACGTCCTAAAGTCCGGTCTTAAGAGTCTTTTCCTAGGGTCAAACTTAGGCTCTGATACCAACTGTAAAACCCCAGATTTTTCAAGACATTTTAAGCTTATATAATAAAGGTAATATCTCATTACATCCCAAAGTATATCATAAGTGTACGGGGTGCTATGCCACACCTGGGCTAGAGAACCCAGGTGCACAGGCTGTCTAACTAATATCCATTGAAACACAATGCATAATATGGCACGCAGGCCGAAAGGGAAACTACTCTACTTCTACGCTCCAGTTCTAGCGCGCTCCAGTGCTCTAGTCCTCTGTGCCTGAAAGCCAAATATATCTGTTCAGCGAGAGATGCTGGTAACCCACTCCAACGCGTTGAAATACAATACATATAGAGATATATATAGATATACGAAAACCATTTTGAGCATGAAGATATATCCTACGAACACTAGCTTTAAAACCGGGAATGACTCGACAGATAAGGCCAGACACAAGCACAGTTATAACGAGCATATGCAGTTCATAACAGATAAGGCAGATAAGGCAAAGCATAAACAATGATCATAACCCAACATGAACAATCCCCAATATAAATCCCATAGTCACATCCCCCAAGACACTCGTAATCACAACTCGTCCAGGTCACAACACATAACACACTTTGTTGGCGCCACAGGACCAATCGCATGCCCATACATGAGGGTCAGCGCATATAGCTCTGACACGGCCCCGCAGCACCCTGCCCCGTA